AGCAATATTTAGTCTTCCAGCCCTTCAACACTGGAGGTCTTTCCATTTATTTATATCTTTAATTTTTTTCAGTAACATTCTGTACTGAAATTTCAATGTACAAGTCTTTTGCCTCCTTGGTTAAGTTTATTCCAAAGTATTGTATTCTTTTTGATGCTCTGCTAAATGGGATTTAAAAAAATTTTTTAGATTATTTATTGTTAGTGTATAGAAACATAACTGATTTTTGAGTATCCTGCAACTTTGCAAACTGATTTTTGAGTTTTCTGCAACTTTGCCAAATTTATTTATTAGTTCTAAGAGGTTTTCTCTGTGGAATCTTTAGAGTTTTCTACATAAAAGAAAGAGCATGTTATTGGCAAACAGATACTTTTACTTCTTCTTTTCTAATTTGGATGCTTTATATTTTTTCCTTTTTTGTCTAGTTGCTTTTGCTAGGACTTTCAGTACTTTGTTGATTAGAAGTGGTGACAGTGGGCATCCTTGCCTTGTTCTGATCCTAGAGGAAAAATACAGTTTTTCAGTGTTGAATATGATGTTAGCTGTGGGCTTTACACACATGATCTCATTTTGTATTGTTTTTTTAAAGATGTAAATGCCATCATTTAGTATGCCTTTACCATTGAGCATGATTAAACTAAAGAATAGTGCATACATTTTAGAGAAGCAATAAGCCAAACAGACAACTTATTAAAATTAAGTAATGTACAGTGAACTTGATGAAAAAAAGCCACTAGTTATTTCCTGGGGAAATTTATGGAAAATTTGCTTGGTTTCTAATCCCATTGTAATCTGATTTTTACCCAAACTCCTTGGCTCCCTTGAAGGTAACTAGTAGCCACTAAATTGGAAAACCAGTGGTCTGTTCTTAACTCCTTTATGATCTCTGTAGCATGTGGCACTACTGATCAAACTTTCCTAATTGTTTCCTCACTCAATTTTCATATCTTTGTGGTTCTCTTGCCACTTTGACTGTTCTTTCGGTCATCATAATTCCTTTTCCTCCTCTTGTTTTGTAAATGTCTGTATCTCTTGAGGTTCTGTTTTTTGATCCCATCTCTTTTCTCAATTTATGTTTTTGTCGGTGATCTCATTTGACCATCATGGCTTCAGTCATCATCAGCATGCAGTTGACTCACAAGTCTGTCTCTCCTCTTGAGCTATGGTTCCACTTCTTTGTCTATGGACACCTCCATCCACATGTCTTACCAGGTCTTCAGGTTGAAGATGCTCATAACTGAAAACTTTATCTTTCCTTCCAACTTGCTTTTGTCTCCTTCATCCTCTGTCTGTTCTCCAGACTTGGTTGGTGTGATGTTTCTGGCATACCTTTGCTCATGCTATTTCTTTTTTTTTTTTTTTTTAAATATTTTTATTTATTTCTAGGAGAGAGAGAGAGAGAGAGACAGCGTGAGCAGGGAAGGGTCAGAGAGAGAGGGAGATACAGACTCTGAAATAGGCTCCAGGCTCCGAGCTGGCAGTCAGCACAGAGCCCGACGTGGGGCTCGAACCCACAAACCACGAGATCATGACCTAAGCGAAAGTCGGATGCTTAACCAACTAAGCCACCCAGGCACCCCTGCTCATGCCATTTCTTTTCCTGTCTTTTGTATTACTCTTCCTAGCACTCTTCAATATATACTTCAAGATCTGCTTAAATGCCATCTTTTCTGTAAAGTACTAATCTGGGCAGTAGATGACCTGCTTATTCTCTGCTCTAAAACCCTTCTATTGGGGTTTCTTATAGGCTATTTCTGAAAATTATGAAGCTGTTTGTGATTTGGTCTATGTTTGATTTTCTAGCCATAAATCTAGCCACTCCCCCTCAGGAATCCTATAATTCATTACATGATCCACATAAAACCATTTCTTGTTCCTCAGGCTATATGCTTTTGTGCACATGTCATTTCCCCTTAGTGTTTTTTAGGGGTGCAGGTGGATAGAGTTAATGGTGGTGGCCTGTGAAACTAGTCCTATAGTGATGTCTTACGTTACATAGATGTCTTCCATCTATTGAGTTCTATAAGCAATTTAGCATAGTGGAAAGAGACAGCACTTGAACTTTGATTTAAACCCTAGTTTTGATATTTACCAGCCACATGAACTTGGTATTCAATTTTTCTGAACTTCTGTTTCCTGATATTTATAAGCCATATGAGCTTGATAAAAGTACTCAATATTTCTGAACCTCTATTTCCTGATCTTTAAAATAGGGGCAATAGTTAGCCTTACAAGGCTAATATGAAGTTTAAGTGAGAAACTGCATATAAAATGCCAGGCATGCACTAAGTCCTCATAAATCGGTGTTAAAGAAAAAGGAAAAAAAACCCCAGTAGCAATTACTGCTTTCCTTTCATGGGATCAATTGTGTATGTTGGGGATGTGTGAAATGGTGTCAGACTGCAGACAGACCACAAAGGATATTGTTCTACTCCTGGGGAACTGGTGTGCCAACCACACATTCGAGTCAGGGATCAAGAGAAATTTCTCCATGCTGTCAGCTAGTAACTTCTTCCCTGTGGTACACGTAACACTTTGTTTCTCTCTCTCCAAATAGAAATGCTTTGCATGTATTGTCCTGCCACCCACTGTGCCTTCTTTAGTACATCTTCCTTATTGTCCCAGAGTATGGTTTTTAACATGCAGCTTGTATATGGTGTTCTGTCCACTCTTTCAGTACAGATAAATCCTAACTCCTTAATACAGATTATAAGGCTCTTTATGATCTGGCCTTCACCTGTCGCTCTAGCCACATCTTTTACTATGCCCCATGCAGTGGTCATTTGTCATTTTTTGTCTGCCCAGTATCTGAACCCTTATGTTTAGGAAATTGCACAGTGCCTTGGTGGGGGAAGGATGTCTCACATCTCAGATATTGAAAAGTTCAGATACTCATGAGTGACACAGGATCAAAAAGACTGGGTCAGTGGCCACAGTGATGGCTGCTTGTTACATTGGCAGTGGTGTTTGTACTGTACTCTTCCCATGCATAGTTTCAGCTGCGATTCAGACTGACTGTCCTACGTTGGTAATGGCTTAGTTTTTGAGCCTAGATTTCCCAGCCTTTGTGTTGGATCTTTGAGGCTACCCATTGTTTTTCTGATAAATTCTTTTTCTGTGTAAAGGAACCTAGGGTGTTTTCTGTTATTTGCACTTACCAAAAAGCCTTGACTCATAGCACTCTTTAGCACCAAGTGCTCCATTCACATTAAACTTCTGTCTACAGTACTTCTGAACTGACCATGGTTGTCTCAGCTTCTGGGCTTTCTCACGTTGTTCTGCCTAGAACACTCCTTACCCCATTCTTGAACTGTTTACTTTTTGTATTCCCCCAGTTTTATTGAGAAATAATTGACTTGCATCACAGCATAAGTTTTAAGGCTCACAGGATGGTTTGATTTACATGTATTGTGATATAATTACCATAATAGGTTCAGCTAACATCCATCATTTCATATAGATACAATAAAAAGAAAAGAAAGAAGAAAAAATAAAGAGGAAACATTTTCTTATTATGGTGAGAACTCTTAGGTTGTATTATAATCTTAACTTGTCTGTGTCATACAGCAGTGTTAGCTATAGTCAACATGTTGTATATTACCTCCCTTGTGCTTGTTTATTTTATAACTGGAAGTTTGTATCTTTAGACCACCTTATTCCAATTCCCCCTCTCATCCCACCCTCTGCTTCTGATAACCGCAGGTCAGATCTTTTTTCTATGAGGTTTTTTTTTTTTTCTAGATTCCACATATAAGTGAGATCATACAGTATTTGTCTTTCTCTGTTTGACTTATTTCATTTAGCATAGTACCCTTAAGGTGCATCCATTTTGTTGCAAATTGCAGGATTTCCTCATTTTTATGGCTAAATTAATATTCCATTATACACACACACACACGGCACAACTTCTTTATTCATTCATCTATTGATGGACACTTAGGTTGTTTCCATGTCTTGATTATTGTAAATAATGCTGCTGTGAACATGGGGTTGCAGATATTTATCTGAGTTAGTGTTTTTGTTACCTTTTGGATTATTATTATAATCCCAGAAGTGGAATTGCTGGATCCTATGGCAGTCCTATATATAATTTTTTGAGGATCCTCCACATGGCTTTCCATAGTGACTGTAGACTGACTTTTAATGGTCCTTTGAATTCCACTCTGTTGTTGTGTCACTTTTTCTGAAAATCTTCCCCTGGTTCTAAGATGGGTTAGATCCTCAGTATTCCCACAGAACCCTCTGCTTATTTCTGTCATAGTACTTACCACACTGCATTGTAGTTGTGTCAGCATTCCTTGAAGACATGAACTACTATTAAATATCTTTGCATTGTCTCTGGCAGATCATAATTACTACCTAAATTTTATCTTTTAAACGAGTGAAAAACTATTGAATTACACATGGTGTTATATTAGAATTTGTCTAGTTGCATATCTGTTTTCCCTAATAAACTGAATGTTTGGTTAGCAGAGACCGAGTTCTTTTTCATTTTTATATCCTAAATTTGTAGCATAGTACTTGGCTCATTGTAGATGCTGAGGGAATGTTGAATGTGTGATTGAATGACTGAAGGGCAGGCTGTCTTTTTAGAATTTCAGTTTAAGTTTTCCAAAAGAAAATATCTTCTTTGACTGTGTGGGTAAAATGAAATATCTGCATGTGGCTCAGGGATGGTAGTTTTATTTAGAAGATAATGTGTACATGTGAAAGAATAACTATTCAACAAGCTAGTATTTTATGTGCCAAGTGAGTGATATGAGCAGATAGATGTTGCTTTAGTGTCAGGCTAATTATAATGTTCTTAACTGGGCCTTTGAAAGTGCGGTACACAAACAAATACTTAGAAAATGTCTATTAGTTAATTGGATTATTAGTTAATTGAATTCATTAGAATGGAAGCATGTATCTTTTCTACTTGGCTTATATTCTACCTATTTTGGAATCTTTCCTCCTTCATTGGAAATTTTTCACTGAAATTTTTACTCCTTGTTTTTAAGGTCCAAGACAACTTTGACAAGATTGAGTTCAATAGGATGTGTTGGACCCTCTGTGTCAAAAAAAACCTCACCAAGAACCCCTTGCTTATTACAGAAGAAGATGCATTTAAAGTATGGGTTATTTTCAACTTTTTATCTGAGGACAAGTATCCATTAATTATTGTGCCAGAAGAGGTAAGGTGTGGCTCTGGGAAGTTCTTGCATGGCTATCGTAGCATTTAATAGATCTAGCTTGAAAGTATTGTGTTAATTTGAATTGTGTAGATATAGAGGGAGATCTTGGACTAGTGTTTTTTTGGGTCAGAGACAAAACAGCTTGAATCTAAAAAAGTCCAAAACGTAGTGATTTGGGGTCATGTAATACCCCTCAAGATTTGTAGACAGGGTAGAACTTTTCCTCTCCAAATTGCTATAATTATGGATGAATCCATCCTCATATCCAAAGAGTTTTTTATTCAGTATAAATCACAACATAATTTTTAGTCTGTTTACATTTGGCAAAACCAGTATGGCATTTTAGGAAAGCAGGCAGAATTGTGTGAGTGATGCTATATGGGAAACACATAGGATTCACAATGTTGTTCTCAAAGCTGTTTTTATGTGAGGGCATACTGTCTTTGTTTCAAAGTTCAAGATGGTCACTTCTTATTGTACTTTCCAAAGTAAATGAAAAAAAATATTTGCCTGTTCTATTCTGACTTATTTTCAGGAGTAATAAATAAATAAAGAAGTAGTGTTTCTGTGTGCTGTCTCACTGCCTTAAAAAATTATATATGTGGGGCGCCTGTGTGGCTCAGTTGGTTAAGCGTCCGACTTTGGCTCAGGTCATGATCTCACAGTTCGTGAGTTCGAGTCCCGCATCCGACCCTGTGCTGACAGCTCAGAGCCTAGAGCCTGCTTCAGATTCTGTCAGTCTCTCTCTCAAAAATAAAACAGTAAAAAAATTTTTTAAAAATTATATATGTAACACATGCTTATTATAGTAATAAATATGAAAAGACTAATATGCAGAATTACAATTAGCTATAGATCTCTCCTTAAAAAAAAAATCAACCTGTCATTCCTTAACTTTTGACAAATCTTTTAATCTCTTGTTTTAATTTCCTATCTATAAAATAGGGCTGGGGCACCTGGGTGGCTCGGTCAGTTAAGCGTCTGACTCTTGATTTTGGCTCAGGTCATGATCTCATGAACCCTGCGTGGGGTTCTGCAGTGACAGCACAGATCCTGCTTGGGATTCTTTCCCTCTGTCTCTCTGTCCCTCCCCTGCTCTCTCTACCGCAAAAAAAACCCAAAAAAACTTTAAAAAATAAAATAAAATAAAATAGGGCTAATTAGAGGTTCTGCATTTAAAGGGCTTAGCTCAGTACCTGGCATGTACTATGTATTCAGTAAATGTGTTAACTCTTATGACTACTATTATTACATATTTGCACATAAGTCTGCTTATTTCCTTAGGACAGATTTCCAACAGTGGAATTCTGAGTCCTAAAAAACACACTTTCAATGTATTTGATGAACAGGCAGAATTACCCTTCAGAAAGGTGTACCACTTATACACCTACCAGCAGTGATTGAGGCCTATTACTACCCATCCTGCTAATACAGAATCTCGTCTCTGTAATTTCTTTCTTTCTTTCTTTCTTTCTTTCTTTCTTTCTTTCTTTCTTTCTTTCTTTCTTTCTTTCTTTCTTTCTTTCTTTCTTTCTTTCTTTCTTTCCTTTTTTTTTCTTTTCTTTTCTTTTCTTTTCTTTTCTTTTCTTTTCTTTTCTTTTCTTTTCTTTTTTTAATGTTTTATTTATTTCTAGGAGAGAGAGAGTGAGACAGTGTGAGCAGGGGAGGGTCAGAGAGAGAGGGAGTCACAGACCGAAACAGGCTCCAAGCTCTGAGCTGGCAGTCAGCACAGAGCCTGACGCGGGGCTCGAACCCACGAACCGCGAGATCATGACCTAAGCAAAAGTCGGACGCTTAACCGACTAAGCCACCCAGGCGTCCCTCGTCTCTGTAATTTCTGTGCTTCATATTCATGTTAGGAAAATCTGTTTAAAAGTTCACACTATAATATTTTATTTAAAGCCAACAAATAAGCTGCCAACAATAAGCAAGGCACCAAGAGGAATGCAAGGTGCAAAAGATTACTTCCTGCCTTCAAGGAATTTGCAGTCTGCTCAAGGAAAAAAAATAAGTCAAATGTAATTCAAAGCGAAAGAAACTACCTATTACAAGAGAGATGCAGAGGGCATACAAATAGAGAAAGGAAAGATTTAGTCTAGCTTAGGGGAAGTAAGGGATCAAGGAAAGCTTTTTTTAAGAGGTAACATAATGGTTAAAAGTAGGGCCTTCAACTTTTTCCATAAAGGGCCAGACAATAAATAGTTGAGGCTCCATGGCCCTTTGACCATTCTGTCTCTGTTGCAGCTACTTAAGTCTGCCGTTAAGGCATGAAAACAGCCACAGACAGTATGTTGCTGGACTTCAAATGTTGCTGGACTTTGAAATGTGAATTTTATGTAATGTTCATGGATCGTGAAATATTTTTTCCTCCCAACTATTTAAACATGCAGAAACTGTTCTTGGATCAAGAATGTATACAAACATGCCATGAGCCAGATTTGGTTGCTGGGCTGGAGTTGACTCTTGGACTGTCTTTTGCTGTTCCCTGGTTAAGGGCAGGGGCCCAGAGTCAGATTTCCTGGATTGAATTCTAGCTCTGCCACCGTTCACTAGCTCTATGACTTTGGGCAATATACTTCATTTGTTTTTGCTTCAGTTTCCTTAACTGTAAAATAGGGCTAATGCTAGTATCTACCTCTTAACTCTTCTTGTGAAGATCAAATGAGGAGAATGCCTGGCCCTTGGAAAGTGCTCATTTAGTATTACCTCTTAAGTTTATGGGGAAAGTAGCACTTGTGCTGGGCCTTAAAAGATGGGAAGAATTTCGACTAATGGAGAAGAATTCTGTGGAATGGAATGGAAGAAACAGTGGGCAAGGTTATGAGCAAGGAAAGCAAAGGGGCACTTTTTTTTTTTTTTTTTAATTTTTTAATGTTTATTTTTGAGAGAGAGAGAGAGACAGAGACAGAGTGTGAGAGAGGGAGGGGCAGAGAGAGAGGGAGACACAGAATCCAAAGCAGGCTCCAGGCTCCGAGCTGTCAGCACAGAGCCTGATGTGGGACTTGAATTCATGAACCGTGAGATTATGATCTGAACTGAAGTCGGACATTCAACTGCCTGAGCTACCCAGGTGCCCCCAAAAGGAATTTTTAAAAAGGATATCGGGTAGCTCACAGAATTGTCATGATGGCTGAGACCAGGTTTGAATGCTATCATTCTGGAACTATACTGGTCACTCCAGTGAGGAACCACAAGGAAAATGCTGGTGCCAACAGAGGGTGGGTATTGAACTCGTGCCATGGAAAACCTCTGGCCCTGCACAGTTTGGTGCAGACCAGGAATCCAGATCTTGCAACTGTTCTTGCTACCAGAGAGAATTCTCTGAGCCCACTTTCCAGTTCACAGTCAGGGGATAACACATCTAATTGTATATGGCCTGTGTCAGGTGCCATGAGGTAGTTGCAAAAGAGGCCTGTAAAAGGTCCATTTGCATTTTTAGCATCTGAATTGGGAGGTAGGGGATTGCCTACACATAAGAAGGGGGCTAGATGCTAGGCAGTCAAAAAGAATGACACATGCCCTGTCTAACTGGAACATGCTAGCTGTGAAGAAGAGTGGTGGTAGATGAGCCTAGGAGTTTTGACTTTACCCTGTAGTAGGCAGTAGGGAGCTGTGGGCCACAGCTGGTGATATTTTTAAATGTTGATTTATTTATTTTGAGAAAGAGGGAGAGAGCACAGGGCAGGGGCAGAGAGAGAGAAGGAGAGAGAGAGAGAGAGAGAGAAAGAGAGAAAGAGAAAGAGAGAGAAGAGGGAGAAAGAGAAAGAGAGAGAAGAGGAAGAAAGAGAGAGAATCCCAAGCGGGCTCTACACTCAGTGTGGAGCCCGATGTCGGGCTTGACCCTACAACCGTGAGATCATGACCTGAGCTGAAATCATGAGTTGGATGTTTGACTGAGCCACCTAGGTGCCCTGAGCCACTAATGATTTTTAGGCAAGAGAGTGTCAAATAAATAGATGAAATATGGAGAGATGGGAGATGGGAAATTGAGAGAAGGTAAGTGGCATGTGAGGAATGAAATATAGTAATGGCAGTGAGAATGGAAAAGAAGGTCAGATGGGAGGGACCTGGAGGTGACATGGCTAAAAGTTCATAGTGCCTGGCTGTGTAGGTCTGTAGACTGGTTTCAGGCTTGGGCAATTGGGAGGTAGTTGTTTAAAGCATGATCTTTGAACTCAGACTGTCTGCTTTAAATCCTGACTCTACCACATTTTAACTATGTGATCTTGAGGAGATTAATTTGTCTCTTTGTTTGCGTTTCCCCATATGTAAAATGGGGACAACTACTTCATTTATTGGACTCTTGTGAGGACTAAAATAGTTGATGTATGTGAAGCATTTAACATAATGTCTGGCCTCATGATAAGTGCTCACTAAAGGTGTGTGTGTGTGAATGGCAGGATGATGAATAAGTTGGAGATATGGTGTCTGATGATGGGTTGGGTATTTTAGGTGGAACATACTTGTGGAGCTGTCCTGTATTCAACTGGAAGTACACATCTAGAGTTTGTGAGAGGCTAGGGCTGGAGACAGAAATGGGGAAGCTATGGGAGTAGGTTAGATCAGGGAGGAAGAAACTGCTGTGGGAGAAGTGAGGGCTGAAGACGGAACCTTGGGAGTGTTTCTGTAGCAGGGAGAGGAAGTAGTTTTGGTATAGGAAGCTGAATTGAATAGTCTGTAAGGTAGGAGGAGAACTGGGAGAGTATTGAGTCATGAGTGCCACAGAAAAAAGTCCTAAGAAGCAGAAAAGTAGTTACTAGCATTAGATGCTACAGAAAACTAGAGGGTTGCTCTTGGATTTACCAATTAGATGGTCATTGGAAAACAAGTAGAACACAGTTGTATGTAGTGGTGGGAACAGTTTCTTAGTGCTTAGTAACAATAATGATGTAATAGTGCATCAGTGTTAAAGGGGAAATGGAGAGTAAAATGTGCAATGGAGTCTTGTCCATGAAAATTGTCTAGCTTAATACAGAGACATATAGAAGGAATGGAATATT